GTACATTTGCTGTTATGTTAAACTTATATTAAAGTTTTTCTTCATTACCCATTCAAGCCGTCTCCAGCCATTATTAGTCTCAAAGTGGGTTCCTCGTCATCGAATATGTACGATATTGTAGAGCTATCTATCTATATATATATACTAGAATATAACACTGAACAAACTGGTCGAAACTTGAACTTCCAAGTGAAATGATAAACACATTAGATATTTGTTGAGTCTATCAGTTTTGAAACAGAACTTTCTGTATTAACACCAAATTAAACAGAGCTAGGGAAACCCAGAAACTATTTTAAAAGTACTAATTTCCTTTTTTTTTCTTTTTGTCTTACAAAAGTAACTTTATGTTGTTATGGTTCACTTAAATTGTTTTTTGTATAAATGACAATATACACTCTTAGACGGTGTAATAAATTGGCTACATTGTTTCATACAGATAGCTCACTTTCATCAGAAGTCACTGATGTTTATAGTTACAAACGTTTGTTCGTATCTCACGAACCAGCTGAATACACTATCAGTTACACAATAGTGGTTCTTACCAAGTCTGCATTACCTGGTCAGTTCTTAATAACCACAACAAGATAAGTATATGTCAACGACACGAGTCTCAAAAACAGCCAACCAAATCTTATTGGCATATTTACTTACCTAAACTGTTTCTTCTCTTGTCTTGCCGATTTACTCAAGTAATGATATCGTTGACTGGGTGACTTGAGTGATACTGATCTATAGTTAAAAAACAAGGGTGTTTCTGATTTTTAATCCACGATGCGCATAAGGTGTCATTACACATAAAAACTCCAATACCATATCTGATTTCTGACATCCTTTTCTAAAGCTATACATACATATCATGATGTTAAGGTTCTATACTGCTAAAAACATTTGATAAAAAGTAATAGTTTTACAGGAAAAAAAATCTCTGTGACTTCCAAGGATTTTGTTTTTCTTAATCTTTTTCAGGTATTTTTAAGAGTGTAAGTGAAACAATGGCGATAAGGAATATATATTTTATATGAAGACTGTTATTGTACAATTTCAAACATTTAAAGTATTTAATTGTTTCGTTGTTTTACAGCTTGTATTATATCCACGTGTCTTGTATTATTTTATAAAATAGTGTATTTAAAAAGAACAAAAAATGGACAACAATTCATGTGGGAATTCAACGTGGCAATTTCAATAAACTTCTTGAACTCGAAAATATGCAAATATATAATAAAAATAATGATAATAACATGTTACATTCTGAGCAGACTGACTGTTATATGTTCTGGTTATACAATCTACAACAGTAAGTAGTTCTTTTTATTCTTAGACTTAAAAAATGTTACAGTTAAAGTTATACATGTTTTATTCTCGGGTAGAGTATAAATTACTTCAACATGATTTTACTATGCAGTAATATGATTTATTAAATAATTTACTAAAATTAAAAAATGAAATTGTCCAGGCATATTTTAATGTTTCAGTCTACTTTAACCAAATACAAGTCTATATATCAAGGAATTAGTGTAAGATATTTCTAATCAGAATACATGAAACGCACTTAGACCTATTTTCATAACTTTGAAAAACTGAAACGTGTGATAGGCATATTGGCTCTAAAACTTACATGCCCATGTTTATTTACAGCCAGGGTTATAAGTGGCATTTTGAATCAGTAAATATTGACAGTGTTAAAAAGTATTGTAGTATAACTTTTTTTTTCTGAATCTTTTAGTTTAAACTAATAGTATCTGTTCATTATATTGAAATTGGATAACAACGTACTATCGCTTTCTTCAACTGTAAAATTCATTTTCTGATTATTTAAAATCAAAGGTCGGTATATTTATGTGCGTGTGTGCGTCTATGTGATTATTATTATTATTCAATAATCTTTACGTTTACATAGCTTTCTCCTGGATTGTTTTCGAAAACAGTTATTAATAAAAGTTTACCAGTCACCCGGTTTGTTAATTTAAGTGAACCTTTACTTGTTACAATGTGTTCATCCTTTCATTAATGATCTCAGAATGCAGAGCAATAAAAGTGTAGTATTGTGGTACACAGGCTTTTTGTTGATTAAATAAAGGTATCTTTCTTACACATACACACATAATTTGACATTAATGACTTAAGTTTTAACCCTTAATAGTGAAACATATTGATTTATGTTCAGGTTTGGTTTAAGTAGTTTCATATATAAGGACCTCTTGATCTGAAGTATTTCTTCGTTTAACTACTGCCTACTAACTTAAAGTGTTGTCTAATGGTGTTCCAATTGCCCTAAGAAGTAGTTGGACAGAGGACTATTCTCTTTGTCATAGTTGCATATTCTTTAATGCGTGTTTAAAAGGTTCTAAGTGTTGACTCTATATAACCTCGTTCAATTCGAGGACAATTATACATAGTGATAATGTGTGATCGTCTTAGAGGAGGAATTCTTCTTTCCATAAGTCTGAAACATCTGAATTCTTATTTGTGGTTTGAAATTCGTTTTGATAATAATGTAAATAACAATTTGTTATATATTTTCATACATTTAAAACTATTCAGGTCAGTGAGCAGATCTTGGGGCTCGAGGACACTGGCGTAACAATTTTGAGCTATTATTATGTCTTACTAATATGCAGTGGAACAATGTTTAGCGGACAGCTTAGCAATTTATAATGATATGGTGGCGTTGGAGTTTTCCTCATTATAATTCTGTATTAAGCAGCTGTACGATATATGTATCTTTTTCATTAATATTGAAACTTTAAAATTTTTCTGGGGATTAAGAATAGTCTTATTCTATACAGGTTTGTCACAAACAAGAGGTCCAGAAAACAATTATATTGTTTACGTTCTGTTTGTTTTTGTTGTTTTGTATCACCTAGTGACTGATTTGCCCATGTGGATATTGTTGCACGTTTGCACAATGTAGAGAAACAAATGAATGACAGTAATGTCCTTTATTGGCAGAGTAGATGGTACCTATAGGTTACAGCCTTCTCTACTTTGTATGAGAACGAAGAGTTACTTGGTAACGCGGGTCGTTATAAAGAAATGAGACGTTTCCTTTTAGCACAGAGCTTTCGATTTCTATAAATCTTTCTGGATCATCACAGTGAACAGATCATTGGAAAGACATCTTGCAGGAAGAAAGCTGTTGACTGATTTACTGATCTAGTAGAAGGTGTCCTGGAGCAAGTATATAAGGATTGTTTAACACTTTACATCATATGTCAATTCTATTTATTTCCTAAGCTTAAACTGAGTAAGTTTAATTAAATTCAGGTTTACTCTCTAATTATCCTGCACAAATCTCTCTTTATGAAGTGGACATACCTAATACTCGTGTGAGAATAAGCTCTACTTGAGAATACCAGATGTTCTTCTTACACTGTTTACAGCTTTAAACATAAAGCCGTTTTTCAGTAACACCATTTTAATTCTTACCAGTTTGTTTTGATGCATAGCATTGATGCACTATTGAAATGCTTTTTGGGTTAGTATGTACAATAAGTTGCTTTTAAAGCTATTTGGAATAAAGCTTTCAAAATTAAAATATAAACTGATAAGTATTTTTGTAATAATAGTCAACTTCAAACCATTCATCTATGTTTCTAACCTTTTAGTATCTAAAAAGGGAGGCTTTGAAACAGGTGAAATTCTCAACAACAAAGTAGAGTTATTTAGTTGGGTGAAATGGATCTGTTTTCGAAAATGAGATAAAATCTACGTGTCAATGTAAAAAACATCAATACAAATAATTCCCGGTACTAGTACTGCCTTAAGGATAAATTTTGGTTCTGAGTGCTGGTGAGTACCGGCAGAATTTCATCTGCTCTGACATAACTTGCTTTTATAATGTGAATTTGATACATTCTTGTTGTTGTTTGGAATAATCCAAAAATAACACTAGGGTGATCAAATGTCCCAAGAAAAGTTCACGGGACAGTCAGTCGCATCGAACCATGAATGTATTAGGCCTACTTGACTTGCTCATTGTTATAACACGTCCTGACTGTTCTCTAAGATATTTTTATTATTCGAAATGTTTAACTGATCATAGTGTCCAAATGCCGAAAAGAAAGTGTCCTTTTTCAGATACTTTGAAAATATATTTCCCTTTTTTAAAGGCAAGTGAGTTGGATAATGAAGTTAAATACAATATCTGCAAATCTGTGTTTTCGATAGCGAACGTAATGTTACGACAGCGGAAGTCACGTGACCCTAGTAACACGTCATTGACTTCTAGAAATATCATGTTCCTTCATGAGTGCTCTAGCGTTTTCTAGATATGTGTTAGTCTTGTACATATAAGACGGTCACAACGTGACGGAACA